CCAAGAGCCGACTGATGATTTGAATACATCCCAGTTTATGGTAGTTCTGGGACTTCGTTGTTTGAATTTAGCGGCTTTCTCTCCTCTCCTCGAAAACGAACGTTGCGCGAAGGAGGCGATGGTCTGATCCCGTGTAGAACTTAGGAACAACAGCGACATCGGTCAGGCAAAACCTTCGATTTACTAAGATGTGATCTATTTCGTTATGGTACTCTCCATTGGGAGACTCCCACGCCCATCGCTGAGAAAGAGGCTTTTGGAATTGCGAGTTACCATGGATGGTTTGGGTCGTCATGATAAACTCAGATAGCCTCTCACCCTGTTCATTCCATTCTAGTCCGTGGGTCCCTATGTGACGTTCTTCAGACGTTCTTCTAGATCCAATTTTTTCGTTAAAATCTCCGACAATGACCTCGAAGAATGTATGATCTTCTCTAAAGAATTTTTCGAGGTCCATATAGAACGCTTCGACTTCGTCTTCGTCATAGCTTGATGTTGGTGCGTAAGCAACGAAGATGGTCAAAGCCGGCATGGAACCACATCGTTTCAACCGTAATCGTCCGATACGGGTTGTCAGTTTTTCAAACGAATCAATGCTCACGGTCAAATTCGATTTGACGAGGACGCCAACGCCACCGACACCTCTGCGATCGCATGTACCAAGGAACAGTTCTTCTCCGGTGTCATAAACAGCGTGAAAAGGATGGCGCCTTCTCGTCTCAGCCAGGTCAATGACGTCGTACCTTATTCTTCTTGCTTGAATCAATAGATCTTCTACAGCGGATTCGTGAGCAAGGGTTCTTGCGTTGTAGGTACAGATCGTCATTTTAGTCCGTTTCGATCTTGGCAGCCTAATTCGGCCCTGAGATTTTAGCAGCCTCTCCGTACTCGTCCTACCTGGCGCTGCCGTACCAGGGGCTCTTTCGGAGTCACGGGAATGAGGCCCATATTTGTTACTGTTTTTGGCATTTTGATACCCAACGTATAGCTTTCCAGGCTCTAAACTTGGGGGCTGGGTACTCACGAGTAGCTTGCCAGTCTCTCTCGGAGGAGCGGGAGGAGCTTATTTGTTGGAGGCGACTCCTAACCGCCTCCCATGTACTTCCGAGCCGCTTGATTGCAGGATTTTGGCCGACTTGAGTCGTAGAAATAGAGTTTTTGTCAAGTCGGCGCTGCAGAAGCAGGGATGCTCTCCCCTGAATCCACCTGCGTCTCTGAGAAGCACACGGTCGCTTTTGGTTCGCGTTTTATTCCCCTATCCACCACCTGGGGACGCGCCACGTGCCTCGCGACTAACCGGGCGGGACCCCTCAAAAAGGGAGGTCCGTGGTAGAGCGAGTAGCGGGAAAAAATCTGTTTTACACTCATTTTGCGTTATCGTGCGTTATCGCGAGCTTTCCTCAAAGGATAGAGTTCTTCCCTTAATCTACCAGTGAACGTCCGATTGCATAGATTTCGGAGATTTCAATAGAGTCACTCGATTTTTGAAAAGGCTTTTTCACAGCGCTGTAGAAGAAAAATAAAACTGTCATGAGTAGACTTGAGAGAAGTAGATAAGGGCCTCTGTAGTGTGGTGGTAGCACGCGCCTTCGGTATGGCTGGAACGTGGTTTCAATCTCCTTCTGAGGTTGAATTTCCGCCCACCACTCAGTTTTCATAGGTATACTTGAAACATCATAACTCTGTGAAAAAATCGGTAAAATATAAGAATTTTTGGATTTTCACTGAACTGTCTCTCACATGCATCGCGCGAGATCGCGAAGATTCTGTTATTTACTGGATTTTCCTAATTGAAAATGCTTGGCAACTATATTCAGCGTATGTGTCGTTAACCTGAAGACATCTTTGCCATCTCTCAGGATACAAATCAATACAGCGCTCATTGAACTTGTCATCCTTGGAATATGAGAAAGTTGTCAATCCTTTACGCAAATTATTGACGTCTCGGAATTTCATCTTGTTAATGAAATGCTCCATCGACCGGAAGAAGTGATGGTCCATCGGCGACAAATCAGGACTATACGGCGTATGATCCAGCAACTCTTAGCCTAGTTCGGCCATCTTGCTCTTTGTCAATTTGGCAACATGCAGCTTTGAGTTGCTTTACGCAGAAAGAGACTGCGACAACGTCGACGTGACAGGGTCTGGTTGCAACGGTTCACGAGCTTACAGTAGCGCTTAGCTTTGATCTTATCTTCGGCCGACAGCAAGCCTCAGTAAATCGGCGAGGTCCGGATATAAAGAATGATGAGCACAGCCTTTGGCGCAAATCGATTTGAACGCGGAGTCAAAAATCCTCGTTGGCCTTCGTTGAGCGACCATGATGCGACAGGTATGGACAAATTTGGTAGTCAAGGAAAGCTCAGAAATTCTGCTCAAAGCGGTGGTGATTTGTTGCCTGAGAGATGGCAGAAGTGTGTTCAGGCTGATGTCGCATACTTTAAATGGTGCTGTTGAGAAATTCTAACTATATTTGGTTAGTTAATTTGAAGTTTATTGCTCTAGTGCCAAAACTTATAAAACAACCTAAAAGATTCTAGTTCTGCCAGTGCTACAGGGAAAATAAGATTGATTCACATACGCTGGCATGTGTTTTTTGGCCTGCGGAGGAGGGGGCAAAGGGGTAGCCGCGATGGTCGATCTGTAGCGGCCTAGACGGACCACATTCGAAGTGCACTATTTGTTATTTAATTAGGAACTGCTTGTACTCTTTGAAAAAACTCCAAATAGAACGTATGACTCTGATACTAAATTATTTCACGTACATGTTCATGTGCTTTTCGAGCTTCCAGCGAAGTAATGGCTAGATTGCGCAACCGATGTGAAACATAATTTACTTCGAGTTTTATAGCACTGTAAAAGGGTCTTTTCAGAAAACCGATCATGTATCGAGTCAGCCGGAACTTTAAGCTTTCGGAAAATCATCATCTCTCTTCTGAAAAAATTCTTGATCAGCGAAAAGAATCAGCTTATGATTCTGTGCTGCTAAACGCAAAAGAACTATAGCAAACCTCCAAAGGAAGTTTTGCTATATTTTCGGGTTTTACATGATAATTTAGGCAACGCAGATGGTCCATGACTCTGTAGAGCAAGTGGTATCGCAGAGATTTGAAGACCTTAGGCAGAAAATGGTCTAAGTGGCGAGGTCGGCACCCAGTTGCCACCAACCTTAACAGTCAGTTCGATCGCGGGGCATCATCCGAACGGTCGACTGACATCACCCGGACCACCTCACCTCAAATCGTATCGTAATCGATCCATTATTGCTCTCTCCACACAATCTCTTTATCGTGTAACTAATTGCTTTCATAAGGTTGCGTTCATACAACTGTCAGATGACCTCAATAGAATTGTGAACGAACATTTCACTCACGTGGCGGAGCAAACTCACTTAGGCTATGCGCGGCCCACCACCGCGGTTAAGGGATTCTGCCCATACCAATCAGTAGTGATATTCTACCCCCTGCTAACCAATATACTCACCCACTGGTTCCCGCCACCGGTGCTTCTACTTCCGGCGGACATAGCAACCTTAAAGGGGCTCCGCCTCTTAGTCATGCTCCGTCAGTTCCAATAACATCGTCACAAGGATTTGAACTTTGCTCTGTTGTCCCTTGCGAGACACAGTTGGCAGCAGATCACAACGACAAAACCACTGAACCGTTACCACAAGAACTAAAATTTCAAACTCAAAAACAAAAAATGCATTCTACATGTGGGCCGCGCCTGCGCGGTCTTTGGATCGCCCAGCAACGCTCGGAGTGTTTGGAACTCAGCGTTATTTTACCTTCTACAGTGCAGTAGAACGGTCTTTTCACAAAACTAGCATAGTGTTGGATCGCCAAATACTACGCTATCGAATGATTACCAATACTCTGAAAGAAAAGCTCTTCTCTCCGAAAAGTACGCGTGAATGAAACACAAATCTTCTACTTTTCTATAGCGCATAAAAATGTATTTAGTAAAAAAGGCCGAATTTCTTATAATTGAAAGTCTTTGTTTAACAGGATCTCTTATCACAGTTTATTATGTTGATCCCAGCACTCCGTATATTCAATTCTTTTTGTCACATTCACTCCACACAGAGGCCTTTTAATATTTCATGTGCTGTTTCGCTCCTGCTTGAGGATTTTGTCTTCTTTATGATTATCGTGGAATGCTGGCCAAATTCGCCTTGAAAACTGCGCCCAGCCGAGCTACAGCGTCCGTTGAATGACTTCAAGAGAGCGCTATAGAAGGAGATGGGCTAAATCAACGCCATTACATTACCCGATACATCATATCTAACCACTACATTACCCCTCTTGCGTCAATATATATATATATATATATATTATATATATAATATATATATATATGTAATTTTCCCATTTAATCGCTTTAGCGGTCGCATGATGTCACAAATATATATCCAATGATGTTAAGTGATGTTTCTTGATGGACTACTGAGCCTTTTTTTTGAGTTCTGATATGACCTGCCGGTGACCATTTCAGACCTTAAAAAAAAAGCGTAAGACAGTTTCGTTGGAAAATTTTGAATTCTAAAACGACGTTTTGAAAAACAGCCATTAAAACGACAAGGTTTATATGATTAGTAAAAATAGCAAGCCATCGAGACTGCAAAGCAATTTAGAGGGCATATTATGTTGTCTGTTCTTAACATTTTTTGGTCACTCCATCTATAAATGTATATACATATATATATATATACATATACGTGTATATATACATATATATGCATACATATACATATATACGTATATATATATATATATATATATATATATATATATAATGCACTGTCCCATAGTTTCATTTCTCACCAAGGGGCGCTTAGCTTTGATCATTGCGATGACGTCGGAACGTACGTAAACCACTGAACACATCAGGTCTCGAAAAAAGGTCTAAGACAAGCCTATCAAAATATATTGAAGTTCTAATGCAGCATTCTGAAGACCGTCAATAAACTAGGAGGATATTTAGCGACAAGTAAGACGTTGAACATCAGACGAGAATTGAACTCGCAATTCAGCCTTTCCGAGGGCGCGTGCTAACCAATTGCGCTACCGACGCTATTGTTCTGCCATCACTCTTTCCGTGAATGTTATTTATTTAAAGCAATCAATTGATCAACAAAAATTGCTACTATAGCCACTGATATTCAATCATTTACTGGACAAAACTCGGATGCCTTTCTCCCAGAAGAATGAGCTTGGCAATCAAAAAGTCGGTAGCGACACTTTTGAGCTGGTAGTAGTCTTTAAATTTTTTTTTCACCCATAGATGCCGATTTATGCATGGAAGAGCTGATACTTTGATGGAGCTGTATCAGGGCTGAACGAATATGCTATCCAGTCCAGTTTCCCCAGAATGCGGCAAGTCAACTATTCATTGTAAGGTCGAGCGTTATCCTAGAGAAGTGCGACAGTGGCTTACTTCTAACGCTTCTACCGCGTGCTGTTTCTAACTTTCCAAGATGCTTCAGTAAGCGCTGTCTCTGTCTGCTCGTTATTAAGCAATTTCCAGAACAGCATGTCCTGTTCATCCCAGAAAACCGACAGCATGGTCTTCTGAGCATGGAGCTTGAGCTTTGCTTGAGCTGAAGGGTCTTTGCCGCGTGTGAGCCAGTAGACATAGCGCATGTTCTTTTGTAGCAGACCCTGAGCTCTTACCTTGATTATGATCGAGATATAAAGGTCGTGCCTATCTGATAACAGCAGAAGACTTTTGCAAAGTTAAGCGTGCAGCATGGTCGTAGTTGCCCAATGCGTAATATGTCCAGCAAGACATCACTTCACTGTAGCCCATCTTATTTAGATGGCGAACAGTGGTGTTACGGGCGTAACCGAATGCTACTAGAACATTCTTGAGTAAGCCATAGCTTTCCGGCATCAGCGCGATTTGGGGTATAAAAAATTGAATAAAACGATAGTGCGAAAGAAATCATGGAATAGCCTTATATATATATCTATATATATATATATATATATATACTATTCTAGGTTGTCGGCGAAGTGCTAGTAAAAACGAACAAACACATAATGTATGGTTGGATTATTTTCAGTGCGATGACACAATCTTTGTTGTGTTCGCTATTCATCAACAAAAGATTTGGATTTATTTCTGGCTGAAAAATTACAAATAAAATTCCTAAATGCGACGTTGCCACATGTGCCTGTAAACTGGCCGAGCATCGTATTTCCACCACATCGTCTTATGAATTTACGAGTTCGACGCTTGATAATCTACGAATTTCAAGGATTTATTGATTGATAGCAGATACTCCACATTACTCTCAATATAAACAGTTTGCTTTTTATTGATTCACCCTAAACATTCGCTTGAATATATCACTTTTATGTCAAACCATTTTCAAAGATTATTATTCTTGGTGTGCATTTTCCAACAACTACGTACTCTTCTTTTCTAAATTGTTTTCAGTGATGATTTCTTAAAAAAAAAACACCAATAAAAATAATTTGCATAGTTAGTTGAACGAGGCTTGTGGCGGAGTGGCTAATGGTGCTCGACACGGCTCGACGCGGGATGGATCCTCTACCCCATTAGTCTTCGTCAGTTATTAACGAACTTCCTACAAACCGCCCCAGCTTGGCTTTGTTTGAAATTGCCAGAAGATTTGCGCGACTAATATTCTACGACGTTTAATGAGTAAACTAGCAGATACGAATTGGATGCTAGATGTAATGGAAGCTGTGCAGGAAAAAAAAAGATGAGAAAAACTGTGATGCGAATCAAATATACGTCAAACTGAAGTGAAAGTTAGTTGAACAGAATGAAGTTTTAGGTATTAAAGAAGAAATGCAGGAAGCATTTTCGATACTTTAATTCATTTTTGGTAATATTTTCACTTATGTGATTAACAAGAGTGGTGACAAAATAGGCGTTGATAGTATACTTGGTTAGCACGCGCATCTGGAAAGAGTCAAGTGCGGGTACGACTTCCGTCTGACGTCGAAAATTTGTACACCACTCAAAACAATTGGGTTTATTTTAGGTATTTCTACGAATTTGCCAGCATCCATAGCACTTCACCAAACTGCTTTAGTATTACAGAGTTGTCTGAAATGGGTCAAAGTAATTTCGACTGTAGGTTACAGACTATACTGTTCAAAACGAGCATTATGAAAGTATATTTTACGCCTCAAAAATATAGTAAGATGTCAGACGTAATATAATAACGCAATGTAACATTAACGCAGATGCAATATAGAATAAATAGACGGAAACAAACACAGTACAAAAATGCAACATAACATTATTATTATATCTTTCGCTTCGAGTTATTTTATGACCACATCTAAAATTTCAATAAGCCAAATAATCATTTTTGAGCCACGCATGTCATGTGGTCTGTTAGAAAGGGCTGACTTTATATATATATATATATATATATATATATATATATACATATATATATATATATATATATATATATATAAAATGGTTTAAGCTCAAAAAGGGGTTGGTACGCCAGGGTCATACACCGGTGTTTCGGAGGTTCGTCCTCCTCATCAGTGACCCCCGCCCCACATTCAGCCCTGCATTGAAGCAAGGAGGGAGGCGTATGTGGTGATGGCACAGTGTACTATGACACTGTACCATCACCACCTCTCAGACGATAGATTTTTTGCTGTTAGATCAAAAAAACAGGTTTCAAAAACAGTCGATCTTTTGAATTGGTTTTGATCTAACAGCAAAAAATCTATCGACTGAGAGGTCGTGATGGTACAGTGTCATAGTACACTGTGCCATCACCACATACGCCTCCCTCCTTGCTTCAATGCAGGGCTGAATGTGGGGCGGGGGTCACTGATGAGGAGGACGAACCTTCGAAACACCGGTGTATGACCCAGGCGTACCAACCCCTTTATGAGCTTAAACCATTCTTTTTTGGAATTATATTGAATGTTTTTTTGGGCGTTTCAAAAACAGTCGATCTTTCGAATATATTTCATTTATTTATTTAATTGGTGAATGAATAAACATTACGCATCAGCTTGGAGTGTTCACTCTAACATCTGCTATTTCCAACACATTCATTTCGCTTTTTTTCTCCTTTCACCAATTAGGTGGTCGGATTCTACAGAGTTAAATGCCACGGCTTCCGGATCTACCGTCTTCTTGTCGAGTGATGTAGAGGAAAATTATGTTAGCCCAGCATGATTTTGGACTTGCAAGTTCATGGTATTAAGGCTTTATTAAATCTTTGAAAAAATTATATTACAGCCCTTGGGATTGTTGCATAGATTTTCCTGTTTGTCAACTAAGGTTTATTGAGGACGGGAGTGATTTTTGTAATTGGTTGTCTAATTGATCAACCATAATCGAGTAAGCGACATCATAAATAAAATGATAAGCGAAAATAATGGAAAAATGATGGAAGCAACCAAGGTCTGCGGGTACAAGACATACGCTGGTCAGCGTTCCAGTGTAATGCATGTTTGGTTGCTTGCTCGATACCACTTTTTTCTTACCAAACCTCATACTTGACCGACAAAGGTTTTTGCTTCAAGAATTGTTTGAAACAAGTTTCATGAGATCAGCAGAATTCGACAACTTTCTCTATGGAAGACCCTGGTAGGCAGTAGTGTAGAGAACCATCCCAGAATTCCAAAAAGCATCGTCTCAATCAGCATTCAGTTCAATTTGTGAAGAAAAACAAGTCTTCGAGTTGTAGACGAAAAACTCGCAAACGTGAAGACCCTTCTAGACGATAGATACATCAAGTTTATTGAGAGAAGTGCGGTTTCTGCACAATATGAGGAGAAGGGCCATGTAAATATTGGGTTGCGTCATAATATTCCTTCGCATTCTTTGCACTACGTTGGATGCTGATTGGATGCCTTCCTCCCAGAAAAAATGAGGCTGACGATGGAAGAAGCGTTAGGTCATCACTGAGCTGATTTTTTTCTTAGAATTTCAAAGATGACGTAGAAGAAATCGGTGAGGTCGCTTTTGAGTTAGTAGTAGCCCTCAAATTTTTCTCCCGTAAATGCTGTTCCAGAACATAGAAGAGATGATGGATCCTACGGAGGAAGCTATACGGTGGATGTGCTACCTGGTCCCGTCCAGTTTCTCCGAAATATGGAGAGTCGATTTGGCAATATGAGGTTGAAAGTTGTTCTGAAGAAGACCGATGCAGAGTCGTTTTGGACGCTTATCTCGGACTATGCTGCCAACTTCCAGAAAGGTCCTCCGTTAACGCCAGAATTGGTTGTCTGCTTGCTGATGAGCACTCCTCAGAACAGCATGCCTTGTCAATCCCAGAAAACCAAGAGCATGATCTTGTGAGCATGGAACTTCGGTTTTGTTTGAGCCGGCTGGTCACTGCCGCGAGGTAGCTAGTAGGCGTGGCGCGTGTTATTCTTCTAGTAGAGACAGGACTCATCTCCAGGGATGATCAACTTGAGAAGTCTTGCCTGTGAAGTCGCAGCATAAAACTTTTTCGGACGCACCTCACGCGTGCAGCGCGGTTGTGGTCCAGTGCATGCGGTGTCCATCAAGAGGTCACTTTGTGGTGGGCCCATCCATTTAGTTGACGTGCGATATCACTACGACCGTATCCAAGTAGTAGTGATACTTCCTAAGCATACCACAACCTTTTGCCAATAAATCCTATTTAAAACTGAAAACACTGAGCAAAACAATAGTGCGAAAGACATTATGGGACAATTCAATAAAATTAAAGCTATAAAAGCAACTTGTGTGAACTATACACGGCACATATTGCTGTCACGATGCTAATATTGAATGGAGAATTCAGTGATAAATGATGTGACATTAAAAGCTTATGATTGAGTGACAATGGAACTGAAATTTGAAAGAGAACGTCAAGAGAAGAGACAACAATGAAAGTAAATGAGTGAACGATTTTGGACGAAAAATTGCGCCGCTCGTCTTTGTTCGCCCGCTGAACGGGAGAAAAATATTATACACCGACAAAAACCGTTACAACAGATGTTCAACTCGACAAAGTGAATGAAGAGTCGTGTGTCGCTGTGTGATATGTATGTGTATGCTGTGTAAGTGTTAATGTGTGTGTGTTTGGATAT